AGGATTATTAGATACAAGTTAGGTAAGAAGTTGCAAGAGTTGGTTGATTTGTGGAGCTTGTTCAGATTAAGCAGGTTGTTGATTATTCAATACAGGATTTATAAGATTTACAGGGTTTACAAGGTTAGCAACAAGAGATACAATATTTTGATAGTTTATATTTTGAACTTGAGGACAGATTCTACGAGTATGTCCAGATTGTTTATATTGATAGCAAACAAAATTATTTGACATTTGAGGTTAAGGTTCAGGTTAGTAAAGTTGAGGTTAATTAACCTGAGTTTGTTAATAATTATTATTATTTCTAGAATTATGATGAGGTCCAGTATTTATTTGTTATAACTGTTAGGTTAAAACCTATAGACTTTGGGTGAGTTGATTTATTTAGTTATTTGATTGAGCAGGTATCATATATTTATTGAGATAGAAGATTACAGTATTAGTATTCTGATATATTAGTTTATAATTTTTAGCATAATTGACTATATCATTCCAAACAGTATTATTATAGGGTTTAATATTTACATATAATTTAGATAAGAGTCTATTCAAAAATTTACAGGCTTTGAAATAAGCAGAGAATTGGAAAGGTCCATGCTCTACTCTCCTATATAATTCTAAGAGAGCAGTAGCATAGTTATCAACAGATTCACCAGGGTGTTGTTAGCAATTTTTAAGTTTAGTAGTCCAGATTTCAACTAAGGTTTGAGAACAAAAGGCAGTAGGGAAGTTAATAACAAAGTTAGTATTATGAGCAGAGTTACCATTATTCTATTGTTAGATTCTATTAGAGCTAGTGTTAACCAAAGCTTAGTTTTCAGTTTACCAAGTAGTAGTAGCTCCTTTAAGATATGCAGATGCAACTTGGAGCTTGTTGTTATCAGTAATTCTGTTAGCATTGCAGGCTTTGTTAAATTCAATAAGCCAAGTTATAGGGTCCTGATTTCTACTATAAAAGTAGAGCAAATCAATCACTCAAGTCTCTCTTTTAGGAGAATTATTGATGGTATTAGTATTGTTAGTCAAGGCAGTAGTAGTATTAGGCAGAGTAGTGATCAATTAGGTAAGAGCATCAGTAAGTTTCTGAAAGTTTTGTTGATTAGGTTAAGTCATGTTTACTTGTTACAGTTGATTAGAGAGTAATTGTTGTAGTTTTGGTTAATTAAAAAGTAATTCTAGACCAAAATCTTCTTTCTTGTCAGATAAATTTGATTGTGCAGTTTGATTTTCAGCTATTTGAGAGTCAGCAGTTTCACTTATATTATAAGCTATGTCAAAAGGGTTATTGTTAAAACTGTTTGTTAGGATAAGAACAGTGTATATTTTCTGTTAGGCTTAATCATAAGACTTAGGTTCTTTGAAGTAATAGATACTTAGAAGAAGATATGCAATAAGAGTACAGGTATTTAGAGAGTTTAAATTATTAGTGAGAGCTTAGAAGTAGTTCTGAATATGTGATATGTAGTGTAGAGCAGGATATTCAACAGAAAACCAGATTCAAAAACTTTCAAATTGAATATAATTACCAAGATTTGTTGCAGCTTTAGAAGGATAACAGAGATGATAAAAGATATCAGTATATATTTCAGATATAATATTTAAGTTCTAAGTATGTAGACGATCATGTTTTCAAGTTATAAGAATATGAGCTAAGAAAGTGTTTATTTAATTATCTAATATTTTAACAATTTGTTTCTACTAGAAGATACTAATTGATATGAGTAGTTCTTTATTAATCTGCAAATTTTTAGATAGCAGAAGGTTTTTTACAGTTATTATTTAAGGCATCAGTTTATTTATTAGTAAACAAACAAAACCAAAATCAATAAAATCAAAAATAAAAGAAAAGAAAATGTTATTTCTAATAACAAAAACTAAATAAACCAAAAATAATAAAAAAAAATTATAAAGAAATAAGGTGCAAGAGTTTGTCTAAGAAAAGACTAAAGATATTAAAATATTGTTTATTGTTAAGAACTAGAGAGCAGTTATTATTTAAAGAAGTTATTATTATTTATTTTACTTTAGAAACTATTATGATTTAAATTCTACATCATGTTAAGTCAAGAGAGAAAAAAGCCTATATTTATAACCTTTAGTTGCTAAGGATTAGTAATCTGTGTTAGTGTTCATAGTGTTTGAGTAGACCAATAGTTATTTTTAACTACAGTGTTTGTGGTGTTAAAGGTAGTGTTCACAGTACTCTTCGTATAATATTAAGGTAATGCATATTACTAATTATTGATTAATAATATCTAGAAAATTCTAAAAGGTTTCAGAATCTGTAAGATTTCAGAAGTTATCACATGATTCTAAAATATTCCAGGATATTCTAAAACATTCTATAATATTCTAGACTATTCTACAATTTCTGTATAACATAACCAAAAACTATAACTAATCATTATACAAAACTATTACTAATAAAACTATACTAAAATACTATACTAAACAAATAATAAAACTCATCTATACTGCTATCAGCACTCTATATGGGTAACAAATACAAAAACTAAACAAAATAAATAAAAACTATAATAAATATACTATAAAAATACTAAATTAAATAATAAAACTAAAAATAAAATAAAAGAAAAATAAAGAAATAAAAAATTATAGGTGTGACAATACTTCCTGTCAATATTTTATGAATTCTATGAAGTATCTATATAAGCTAAAACAATTGTACATACTATTCTGAAAATATGCTATATTGCTTTTAGAAGTTTTTATGAAGATTTACAAAGCATATTATTTGTATTTTTTAACTATTAATTCACCTGATGATAATATTAACTCTTATAAGCTGCTATCATTAGATTATAAAATAACTAATTACTATTTTCCAAGAGGTTTTGTTAACTCTAAAAAACTATTTATTAATGTTTTATGTAATTATTTGTATTGTAATTGTACTAACTATACTAACTGTTCAAATAATAATAACGTTTTTGTATATAGGTACAGATATCATAGCTATTACTTACAAAAATATAACTTTAAATGTCTAATATATTTAGACTATCTACAGGATGCAATCAAAAGTAATGTTGAAGCAATAAAAGTAAGTATAATAAAAGATTTAGATGAAAAGGAATTTATAGATAAAAATATTAGAAGTACAGATGAAGATAATTCTGATACTGAAGATATAACAGATGATATAGCAACAATAGATAATTTGTTAGATCAAGCAAAAAAAAACTTTTTCAAATATAATGTAGATTTTTTTTTACAATATATATTTTTTAAATAAATAATATATATTTTTATTAAGAATATTGATAACTATAACTAGTAGTGATCATTACTAGTATATTATTAGCCAATAAATTTGCAGAATCAGATGTAATATATTATGTAACAAATACAAAGAAATTTTTAAAAAATGCTAATATCTTAAGAATTCACCTATGAAACTACCTTCGACGTTCTAACAAAAAAATTCCTTGCTAAGATTTGCATATATATAACACCTTATTAAAATCTTAGGCCTCACTTTAACTCTAAAGTTAATGAAATGAAATCTTTTTGTTGTTCTATCATTATTGGCTAATTATACACCAGTAATAATCACCACCAGTTATTTTAAGTTAAATTCAAAAATAAAATAATAAAATTTAAATATGTTATTTAAACAAAAAATATCTTTAATTTGATTTAATAAAAAAAAGAAGTTAAGCTTAAATAAATTTTAAGAAAATTTAAAAAAACTTTTCAAAAATTATTTTAGTAAACAAATTTGCTTACTTGATAGTTTAAAAATAAATAAAAAATTAAACATAAGTAAACTAGAAAATTTATATTTGATATATAGCAAACTTAATTTTTTACTAAGATAATCTACTTTTGTCTTCTAAGTAAACTTATTAAAAATAGACCAATTCCTTGTCTTACTATTTGTTATTTATAACTATCTTCATTCTAATTTCTTATATAACCAAGAATATTTCTATAAAAGATTTCTAATCATATAAAAATTAGAATGTTTAGGTGGTATGAATAACGTAAAGCAGAGGATTATTCATTTATTTCCTGTGAGAAGTTTAAAATTACAGCAGAGAGGATTCCAACGATAATGATATGATACATAGGGCTATCTGTATCCTATGATCTGTTGTAATTTTTAAGCTTCCTGAAATAAATAATACTAGTTTCTGTTATAAATTAAAAAATATTTTGTTTTAATAAATTTACAAATTCAAAATATGCAAATTTTAAAATGCAATTCTGAACAATTTCAATCTACTTCCTTTGATATTAAATTATAAAATCAAAAAATTAGTTAATATGTAACTCGAAAATAATCTAGCTTTTAAAGTTACATAGTAAAGCTGTATCGTGTGACTGATAACCAAAATCTGATAGTACCGATTATAGTAGGATATCGGATACGTACGTAGCAATTATTAATAACTTTCTGCATTCATATGCGTATTAATATTAAGGTTTCATACAGATAATGCTCGATTTATAATTGCAATGAAGAACAAATCAAAGGTTGACACGAAATAAATTATATAACGATAAGTTATAGTACTTGTGTATGTTATACAATCACTATAACTAATTGATATTATTATCGCGCACAGACCAAATGATCTCTTTAGCCAAATGGTTGAACTGAAAGTAGTCTTTGCCTTGAAAATAACCTTACAGGACATAGTAAATCATACGATCAAAACTTGATTTCAAGGCAAAGTCTCTGTATCTTGCTTTGTATATCGTCAAAAGAATTAAATAAAAAATAAAATAAATAATAAGAAATGCAAAAAAATCAAATTTAGCTAATTTACTGATCCCCAATTCAATAAATCCTTCCATAAGGTTACGCTCATAAATAAAAAATCATACAGAACTTGAACCAATGAAATTATGGTCGAAAATGTGAATATTGGACAAATCAACGTGAATTTATTATACCGGTTATGTGGATATAAGCACCAAAGAAGGAACTTTAAACGGGCTAAATAATTTTCCGGGAGACATCAAAAACTACCATGCAGCTCACCCGAACTAAACCAGTTAAGGAAGTATGGGAAGTAAAAATCCAATAGTCAACGAGACAGAAGTACAAATTGCATGGCAAAACTTGATTTTGATTTAGAAAAATTCATTCGCAACTTCATCTGCCATATTTAACTCTCCGGACCAGTTTGCATGGAAACACAAAGCACTACATTGACTTATTTAGGGTGTTCTCAGCACCTAAATCATATCAAATCAATGGATCGGAGATCAGCTTTTAATTAATGGAAAATTATTTTTCACTATATAATTAATAAAAATTGATCTCGAGAACACCCTTAGATAGAACATACGGTAACTAATGGTGAAATATTTATTCATCATTTATAAATTTTTTTTAAGTTATTAAGCGATAGTGTTCTGAATGAGCCGACTCATTTAGGAACACTATTAAGCGATACCAATATATTGTACGTGTAAATTGGAAGATATTAAGCGATACTAATAACGTCGAATATACAGTATGAATGCATTGTACGTGTTGTAGCATTGAAAACCTTTTCATCTCATTATTTATATTATTATAAAGTTACTACTTACGGGTATCAAAATTTTATCAACAAAACTCTATCATACAAGCCGAATAGATATGAAAAATCTGAGTGTTGTCCAACGAAGAAAGCAAACTATCCCATGAAACCATTGATTCAAAACTACAATGGGTGTATTCAAAAAGAAAAAAAAACAATTAATCGAAAAATATTACCATAATTTTTAATCAGATTTAATATTGTTCAATGATTTATTATTTTTCTTTGGTTATCTAAAATTATAAATTTCATTTTGCATATCGAACATCAATACTAATGACGTTCATGCACAGATTTATCGCTTAGTTAGAAACAAAAGATAATAAATTAACAAAACTACGATAATATTTGTATATGTTTTTGTGTACTAAAAGCAACATAAGTTGATAAATGCGTAAAATCGATAAATTAAAAAGCAAATATTTTAATAACAGTTACTCTATCGACATAATGGTATTTAATTGTAAATAACATTATTTTTATAGATGATCAAATATGACAGCAATTAGTTAATAGGCGATGTAAAAATCTTTATTACGTGTTAAGTATTTGATTTCTGTAAGATTCAGCAAATATAATAAATTGAAAATGCGAAATATAGTTATTGGCAAAAAACACATTTGTTATTTATGATCTGAGTGAGGTTTCTAGTAACAATAGATGTAAAACATTATGCAATAAATGTCGTGGATTATGGTGAAATATGTACTTATTTCAATATGAAATTTTAAAAATTTTTAAGTTTACTATGATCACCATAAAACTGATTTGTTTTTATGGTCACTCATCGTCGTAAAAAAAACAATAAATCCGTTATTGCAATGCTACGCATGCAATAAGTGCCGTATCAGAAGCCTAAAATCTTAATCTGTGCTTTTGGAACCTCGAAGGGGTTCCAAAGTGCTCATTAAAATTTTAGACTTCTGATACTTGACGTATTTTATGTTTGATCTTGATTGTTAAATAATCCGGCTGTACCGGCCGAATCACTAGTCAATCAAGATCATCCATAAATACAGTACTCCACTTATTGCATGCTTAGCATGCAATAACTATTTAGTCTTTTCTTGGCTTTTTTTTAGGGTGAGGTTATTTATATTTTCAAAAAGAGACCCTAAATTTCACTATAATCCGATTTAACCAATGAATTTAATTTGCAATGCGATGCATTATGAATAAATTTTATTTTAAAACGACTTAAATTCCAAAATAATGTAATCGATAAAATACTTTAGAATACACTTGATTTTATTGTAAGTTAAATTTGAACTCTTTAACAACTTAGTACGTTTTAGAATTCTATTACAACCTATGTTTATTTGGACCTTACTTACGATGATTCTAAATCTACAACTATTCTATTCCAACGAATCGAATCATACATATAGATCATATTGGCAATATTAATTCTTAATAATAATAATAATAATAAATAAATAAAATTGTAAACATACAGATACTATAAATAAATAAAAATTGTAAACATACAGATACTATCGCTATAAATAAAAAAAGTTTTTTTTAGCAAACAAGTGAATATACTTATATGCATACGAAATTCAGCATATAAACTCTAACGCTTTTTATTGGTCTTCAAATTACTTAATATGTTGGCGAAATTGACACGTTGATATAGGCTTGTGACATTTGCATTAGTTTACCGCGTATGCTGAGTGTCCGTGAGCACCTTGTTTGTTTGTTGCCAGTTTCATATTAGAAATAAGTTCGCTCGATGAGTAATGGTGATTGGTATAGCGTTTACAAGTACACAAGAATATAAATGACCAATTGGCGAATATAGCCTCGAAATATTTAAAAAAAAAAAAAAATTCAACACACTTTTCGTAAGGATTATTCCGTAAATATAGTAAAAGAAATATATCGCCTACGATTAATTTTTTTTTTTTTTTGTCACTCAAAACGTGACATATAACACAATGACAGGATTTTGGCAACTTTTTTCTGATGGAAAGATTGGCACAGAAAAATCTAGTGGAAGATCCTCAACATATTCAACATTTGAACTACATCCTTATCAAGTGGCATTTTCCTATCAAATCAATGGTAAAACCTATTTTTATGCTCATAGTACAGATACACTTAAATGGTATATTAAAGAACTAGTTGATGATGGTAAAATTGGCAATGAAACCGCAAGTGGAAGCCGAGAGAACCCTTATCATGTCTCATTTCCTTTTCAAATTGCGGGTCGGACCTATTATTATGCTCAAAACGTTGATTCCAATTATTGGTATATTCAAGAATTAGTCGAAGGTGGACAATTGGGTGAAGAAACTGATCAAGGACAATGGTTAAATGCTTATCAAGTAGCCTTTCCTTTCGCGATTAATGGTAGAACTTTCCATTATGGTCATAATACCGATTCGAATTACTGGTTTATTCAAGAGTTATTAGAAGGTGGAAAAATGGGTGATGAAACTGCAAATGGAACTTGGCAAAATGCTCATCATGTTTCTTTTCCTTACAAGATTAAAGATAAACATTATATTTACATGCATAATACTACTAATCGTTGCTGGTGGATTTCTGAATTACTCAATGGTGGTATGACTGGTCAAGAGACGGCGCGTGGAAGTTGGAAAAATGCTTTCCAAGTATCAATTCCGTTTCAAATAAAAGAAACATTTTATTATTATTCTCATAATGTTCACACAAAACATTGGTATATTCAGGAACTTACTCAGGATGGAAAGATGGGTTCAAAGGTTGCAAATGGAACTTGGCGTAATTCATATCCTGTGATTTTTGCCGCAAAAATTAAAAACAAGTCATTTATTTATGCTCAATGTTACGAATAAACTAGTTTTTGTAAGATACAAAATTGAAGTAATTCCGTATATTTGAACTTTTCTAATTAGAATATGATCACAATTTTTCAATCTTGTACTTAAAAATTCTTATCATAATTAAAGTAATGCATGCTGATTAGTGTTAGGTCAAAAATGATCCAATATGTAAATGCTGTCAGTGATTTGAACCGGATAAAAAACCACTAATCGATTGACCGAACCGAATAAACAATTGGCAACCGGTTGTAGGATAATTTTTCTAATGTTAACATTGTTTATTTTTACATATAACCCGTGGCTCCGCCACGGGAATCAAAGCTATCGATTCGTATTAGAATCTACCCAATCCTCATTGTAAAATAAGTACATACAAGGATCGACGCACTCTCCTGACCACTTACAATTAGGACAGAGAATTTTAATAATGACAAGATAAATCTTATACAGGACTTCACTAAACTTAAAAACAATAACAGAACAGGGGCTCTCCCCTTCGTTCCTAGGAAACATAAAACTTCTACTACAGAAGTCTACAGAAATAAAAAGACTAAACTGACAGAAAGTTCTTACACGAAAAAATAACTCCTAGATAACAAAGTAGGTTCTTCTTCTAGAGAAGAATCTAAGAATACAACAAATAGCTATATGGCAACAACTAGCTCTGCTCAACAAAGTACTTCTAGCAGTAAAGCTCCAAGCTAGGATGAACAAGTCTCATAAAAAAGTAGAGAAACAAACTCAAAAGAAAAAGAAAATCTAAACAATAAAACAGATATATTCTTGTCTAAGATATGTAGTGATATGCAAAACAACTAAACAAATATAATAACAAAAACAATACCTCAAGATTTATATAACTCATCTGTAACAGAACTTCAAACAACAAAAACAAACAATAATAACAAAACTCTAAACAGGTTATGGTCAAGTTTATTTGCAAAAGTCAAAAGATGATAATTAATTTTCTTTTCATTCTTATCTAGAAATAGTATTAAATCTAAAAATAATAATGTTTTTATTTTAAATATCTAAAACCTTAATAGTTTATTAAATAAAATTATAATTTTTCTTTATAAGACAGTGTTATATAATATTATAGTTACTAAGCTATATATTAATAGAAATATATATTTATATCTGGAGTTAATATTTACAAACAGGAAGAAACTTAAATACTATGCTACTAAAGAAGTAGAAATCTTTAATAGACTTATTATAATTATATCTTAACTAATACAAAATAGTTTTTTTTTATAGTCAAAATTAAAATATTCTTCTAGATAACAAAAAATTTATTTTTAAAGAGATTAAAAAAGTTTTTAAAGATATAGGTAATATTGTCTTAATTAAACTACTATTAATAAAAAGCATATCTTATTTAATAGACTAGTAGATAATTATTTTTAAGACTATTGATAATCTAAATCTAGAAAAAAGAATTTCTTATTTCTTTTTTTTTTTTTGTTGTTAAGGTAGCTTACATTGTCAAAAGAATTTTATTAGAATTGTCAATAGGATTATACATTGATAATCTCTACTGTTTGTAATTATATGAAGAGTGTACAATAAGCCACATATACAACTTTAGTCATTGTCTATTTTAAGTAGTCCACCGCACAGGCATTAGGCTATCTGATTGGTTCTACACTATACTGCTATACCTGTAACCTGCCTGTAAGTTATCTATTTAAACACTCTGTTCATTAACCTATACAGATCCAACCTAACATCACTGCAACATCTAATCACTTAAGCTAGCTAGCTGGTTATGAATCTATTTATCCAAATAGCTTAGATCCTCTCAAGATATATTATACCAGATGCTTTGCTAATACCACAGAGCCAGTTAACCTTGAAGCAAACCTACTAGAGTGATCCATATCTATTTTATGAATTTACCTAGCTTAGACCCTTGTAGATGTTCATACAACTCCAAGTTCTACTGTAGTCCTCCACTAGTCAGTTGATCTAGTCCTTTTCCAGTATCCAGCTGGTCCTGGTTACCCTTAGTTTAGAGACTTTGAACCTTCTATCTTTATTAGACCAAGTTTTCTTCCTGAATTAGACTTTAGCTAATATAGTCCTGTTGGAAGGCCATACTACTTCACCAACTCAGGATTTTTACCATGCAGGTCCTCTGCTTATATATTCTATTAAGATTTATTTATGTAATATTACACTACACTTCTAAGTTTCAATCGATTTGATACAACTCAATTTACAGAGGTATGCCCCCAGAAATGGATAGAGTTTACTATAATGTATCACAAAGTCTGAGAAATTATTCAAATTCATCGACAGTAGGATTTGAACTCCAGATCTATTGCATGGTAGTCTGATAATCTAACCACTATACTAGATCATTGGACCTTAGAATTTCTTATTTCTTTTTTTTTTTTTTTTTTTTTTTTAATTTTAAGGCCACTTCCTTGGCCGATTAGATTTTATTAGTTTGTTATTACAGAACTATCACATGAATAGTTTCCTAGGGTTTTACAGTTACATGATGAGTGTACAACAAGCCACACGTACAACTTTAG